TCAAATTTGTCAAAATTCCGAAGCAAAAATTTGAAAGCCAGCTTACTGTCATCAACCCGTGCTCTGTTCTGTGATCAGTAAAGCACACTGTTTCAGCCAATCAGAGCGCGCGTTATATGGAAACTTTATTACAAATAAAATTTGTCAAAATTCCGAAGCAAAAATTTGAAAGCCAGCTTACTGTCATCAACCCGTGCTCTGTTCCCTGATAAAGCACGCTGTTTCAGCCAATCAGAGCGCGCGTTGTATGGAAACTTTATTATAAATAAAATTTGCCAAAATTCCGAAGCAAAAATTTGAAAGCCAGCTTACTGTCATCAACCCGTGCTCTGTTCTCTGTTAAAGCACGCTGTTTCAGCCAATCAGAGCGTGCGTTATCTGGAAACTTTATTATAGTATTCCTTACTGGTTCGAATGAATTTATATTAAAATGTGTTTTTAAGCATACTCATACACTATCTAAAGTCTTTAGTCCTCTTTGTTTGATACTTAAGCCTCAAATATATATATTTTTTCTCTTCTCCTAGACAAGAACTGTGGTGAACCTCAATTGAAACTCAAGTTATGCCCACTGGCGTATTGTCTCATTTCCGAGATACTAAAGGGAAACCTTCTTGGCGTCGAATAATTTAGCCAGGCTTTACATTGTACATCGTAATAATCGCCCTTTGTCTTGTATGAATTTCTGCAATTTACTCTGTTAAACGATGACTATACTCCATTTGAAAAATCGAAGTATTCAATGTTCAATCAGTTCAAAGTTTATAGAGGTAAATGGTTTTAAAGCCCGAAAAACTTCAAGGTAGCAAACAGAGATACCAAGATTTCCACGACCGTGCACAATCTTTTGCTTTGTGACATTATGCACGAATTAAGCAACCGAAACGTTGCTATTTGTAAGTTCCCCGGTCACAACAGCTATTGCGTTTTACACAGAGTCAAGGAAACAGAACACACAACAAAGAACTTAGTCGGGCTTCACAGCCATTCCAGAGAGAATCGCAGTCGTCCTAATATTATTTTGTTAGCCTAAATATTTGTATGCTTAATTCGGGAAGATATAGACTAACTCATTAACTTCGTATTAACAAACTCGTTTCCTAAGCGATTAACTCAAAGAAACTCGACATATTCATAGTCATACATGGATTGCATTCAACATTCGTGGTATCGAAAAGGTAAGCCATGTTCATGCAAATCTCTGTGGACTGCATTTTGTCTGTCAAATAAGCGCAGGTAACGATCGATACTTAAGAATATGTGTAGACTATATAGAGCGTGTGTACTCACGTGTCCAGCAGCCATGCAAATTTATTGGAACCAAAGAAAGTGCTTACATAAGAAAAGAGTTGAACTCCCACAGGTTTGGCTTCGCACACCAACGTGGCCGCCGTTTCATTGAGCGATAACTGATCTTTTGACCTACGCGAGAGCCTTCTAGGACCGCAATTTTTGATACCACGCGCACCCC